ACAGAGACGGAGGGTGAGGCAACTGGAGCACCCCTTCAGTGGGTTGACCTAAAAGATTCCCAGATTGCATAACTCTTATCTCTAAGGGGAAAAGAAAGCTCTTGAATCCTGATAGGAGATGTGAAGGAGAAGTAAAGGCAAGAGTAATTAGCATTACAAGTTCTAGACAGGGAACTAGAAAAAAGTCAGAACAGGGCAGTTTTCAAATGCTCATATGAGAGTCCATTGGAATTTCCAAAAGCATCCCTCTATTGGGCTCCTCCTCATTTTCTTTTGTCTTCCAAGGCTGAACTCTAGAGTGGTGAATTCAGGATTTGCTTTCAGGTATTTTGATAGCTGTTGGAGTGGTTAGAATTAGTGTCAGTTCCCTCTCAAAGGCTTCTAGATAAGGGGAGAAAACAAATTTATCCATCATTTTAGAACAACAGCTGGTTGTCTCCCTTAGCTACAGGTGGGCACTAGAGCATTGCAGACCAAGATTTGAAGCCTTACATCTAAGCAGTACTTTCTGATTCAGAACAAAACCATCAATGAGAAATAATTGTCTAAATAACTTTTTATATAGACGTAAACCTAATGTCTGGCAAGTGTAATCCCTTGAACTCTTAAAGAAGAATACTGATGACTTTACTCTTTGGTTTTACTTTCTTTTTGGGTGTTTAAGACCGTTCAGTTGGCCCAAATAAATCAATTTATTTTTACACTTAAGGCCATTTGAGGATCTGTTCCTCAGGGGTCACATGGGCTTGGGAGGAGCTCCTGGCTCCTTTGTTTTACCAGTTCCATCTATGTGATGATAATAGTCCTGTAGTAGTTTATTCCTTTTGTCATGGATCATATCTTTGGTGCATATGTCAAAAGCCGTTGCCTAGTGAGTTGGGAAGCATGTCCTTTGCTTTTGCTTCCTACAAATGATTGTAGAAAATTGGTATAATAGCTTCTGTACATGTTTGGTAGACTTTACTAGTGAATTTACTTGGGCCCGATAACTTTGTTTTGGAAATTAACTATTCAATTTATTTAATAATAAGTATATGACCATTCAGCTTTTATTTCTTCTTGTGTAAGTTTCGTTTGATTACTAAAGATTTATGAAAGCTACAAAATTTAAAAATACATCTTATATGCATTTAATATGAAGAAACAACGGAATAAGGTTAAAGATACTACAATATATAATTTGTTCTCTGTGTGGGTCTTAGTGGGAAGGTGCTTTATTGACTCTTTTTCTCATTCTTTGTATATATGTGTGTTTACATGTGTATGTTGCTTGAAAAGTAAGTCAAGAGACAATTCAGTTGGTAAAGGACACATTAAATAGACAAGGAGAGCATTTTCCAGACTCTATCAATGACCCTCCAATATATATATTTAAATTTGAAGGAAGTTTATGAAAATATGTTTTGGCCTATAAGTTGTTCAAGTAAATGAAAATTAATAGCTGTTATATGTAAAAGTTCCATGCTTAGCAAATTATATTACTGCTAGTCATTATTACTAAATTAAAATTCTAACTCATTTTATTATATTGACAATGACCAAAAGTAATTTTTAACATGTAGGATGATGCAAGACACATTTTACACACCTGTTGAGTACTGTTAAAATATTGTGACAATCAGTGAGGCACCCCTAGTTGCAAGAAGAGGACCCAACGTGTACAGCCCTAGGTGAATGGTTGGTTTCTGACTGGAGGACATTGATTTGGGCATGTGACTTTCCTCAGAGAAGGTGGGAGTTCTACAGGGAGAGATGATTATGAATTACTTCTTTCCCTTGCTGTAGACTATGAGTGCAGGTAAATTTAATTATGGATTATATTACCAGGTTCAACTAACCCGGTAAACTCAAAATAGCTGAATAAAATAGCAAATTAATTATAGCTTAGGACTGCAAGTGTGCTAGTGTGAATGATTCCATCTTGACCTTCACCATTTTGTCTTAGCTCGGGCAAATCAGACCTAAGGTTGAACTTAGCTCCAACAACCCCCCAAAACACCTCTTCTTGTGACTGTCATGGGATGACTATCATTTGTTAGGCTCTGTGGGAAGTGCAGTCTCTCCCTTACAGCTTCACATTCCACAAGAATGAAGCAATATGGTTTTTTAACTTTAAAGACTTCATCCCCTACTTAGGAACCCACCACAGATGCCCCACCCACCCTCGGGGACTATGGTCAGCTACAGTAGCTTCAATAAGGAATTTGGCTAATTCCAATTCACTTGAGTCTGGGGTTGTGACTAACACATACGTGTTTTTAGTTATTTTTTGTTCCATCCTTATTAGTTTTAAATTTTGTGTATTTTGTAATATATTACTCTACTATGAAAACTTACAAAACATGTGTGATTAAATGTGCATAATGCAACTTTTGGTTTGACCTTTGAGTCACCATGTTAGAGAACTTCTTAATTTTAACTTTTTTTTTAAGTTCAAAGAAACTCTTATACTTTCACTCTTTTCTATTCATTGTGTTTCTCTAGAGAACACTGATGAATACAAGTATATTTGAAATATGAAGTTACTTGGCTTTCTTTTAAAAAACAATAGCATGTCCTAGTGATGTAGAATACAAGGCATTTGGAAAGGTATGCAAAACAGCTCTCAGTCCTGTTAAAATGC